TTACTCTTTGCAAGAGCATTGTCTTATATTTTCGCTTGAAACTATTGATCACCCCCTAATCCATTGGCTATAAAACTGCAGTTGCATTTGGTGGGAGATATTCCACACAGATCGCCTGAAGCCCAGTGACTTCCATGTGTGCAGTACAGTTGTCCACGATTAGGAGACCTTTGCGCTTCTCTTTTGAAAACGGTTATCTAAATCTCTCAACCATTTTTCGTAGATGTTGCCAGTCATCCAGGCCTTATTATTAGCATAATATGCAGCAGGAATTTTCTGAACATTTTTGAAACACCTTGGTTTCAGATATTTTCCAATAAAGAGCAGAGGCAATTTTTGTGACCCAATCATGTTGGCTGCAATCAAAACTGTAAGTCTCTCTTTAGCTTTATTACCTCCAACACATTTATCTCCTTTGTAAGCTAATGTTCTTTCTGGCAAAATCTTAAAAAACAAAGCCGTTTCGTCCGCATTAAAAACGTCATCTGCAGAGTATTCAGAAAGAAGCAATTTCAACTTTTCTTCTTTCCATTCATTTGCTGATGACGTGTCTACTGCTGCACTTTTACCACACACTTTCCGGAAACTCAAATAATTCCGAAATTTAAATTTCTGTAACCAACCATCCGATGCTTTAAAATCTTTGATGTTTAATTTGGAAGCAAAAAAGTGTGCTTGTTCTTTAAGTACATTTCCATCAATTGGAATGTTTAAGCTTCTCATCTTTCGAAACCAAACAAGCAAAGCCCTTTCCAAATTTGGGTGTTTTGATTCTCGAAAATATTTTCGAGAGGATGGTCCACATTCATCGTTTCCGTTTTTAGCTCCAAAGATCTTTTCTCTTGCCTTTAAAATCGTCGATAATCTATTTTTAGGAATTCCATATTTCTGAGCAATTTGTGTCTTGCTTAATATTTTTTTCGTCAACTTCTCTTTTAAAATCTTCTTTTTATTTCAACCGCTAAACAAATTCGTTTCTTTCATTTGCGACATAGCTCTAAGAATCTTACTTAACAAAAACTCTGCCCAATCTCCCTCTCGACTAACGAGACTTCACTGATTGAGTTTGTCCAGATCAAATGACTATGACATTACAAAAAGCAACAACTCTCTTTTAGAAGCGACCCAAACCTCTTTAACACGAATGGTCTCACCCCCAACCAACAACATCAGGCCGATGCTCTTCTGAGAGCCTCCCACAACAAACAACACCATAAATTTGTCCAAATTCCCCCTCTTCTCCGCCCCCTCCTTCCTTATTGTACTTCTTCGAATGTTTTGCACTTGCTGCCTCAAAATAGTTGGAGATTTTATTTGACCTTCACACTTCGTCCCAATGAAACACGCAGAAGTATGAAAACTGAGTTCGCAAAAAAGAGATTTTCCTGATTTGTAGTTCGTAAATAAGAGCGCAAAATTACATTACATCTATGGGAGTGTATTCGGGACCATTCGCTAGTTCGTCAAATCGAGAGTGTTCGTAAAAAAGAGGTTCGTAAAAACGAACGTCTACTGTATTAGAATAGAATTTTCCTAAGAGATATTCATACAAGTGTTCAGAATATCACGCAGTGTAATCAGTAGTTATACTTCAAATTACTAAAAACGTTAAAATACCACGCAATGCAAACATATCTAAAGAGAATGCTAATTCAGATATCTCATGGAACTAAACAAATCACAACAACAGTATGTAAGCAACTAATTGAGACGCTCTTTCTTTGGCTTTTTACAGATTTCAACAGGTCGGCAGATATTTCTAGGAATTTCTGCTTGTCGACATTTCTGGAAAACAGTAAGAGGGTGGAATTACGGTTACAACAAACATAGTACAGTCAAAAGTCGTTAATATGGACTCGTCAGGACTTCAGCGATTCCGGATTATCGATTTTTCCAGATTATAGATCATCAGTTTAAATCTGGTAAGATGGAATGCTGAAATTATAAAATTAAAAATATGAAATCGTAATTTATGAAATAAAGAACAATTATGATCTAAAGGGTATCAAATTTACAAAAAAAAAAAAAAAAAAAAAAAAAAAAAAAAAAAAGCTTAGTATTTATTTGTTTACTTATTAAATTTCTTTCAATGTAAGTTGTTTAAGTTGCTTCGTTTTATGTGATAATACTTCTCTTTAATTCTATAAACAGACATAATTTCTTGTTCAGTTACAAAGTTCCCCTGTTCAAGTCCTATAACTGCTGTGTGTCGAGAAAACTGACTAATTTGTCAATCGAAATTTTTTCGTTTTCAATAACCTCTGTGTCACTTTCTTCACTATTGGAAGCGAATTATAATGACGAGGAATTTGATTTAAATCATAGCAAATACAGAGTACATCGAGATGAAATACTACATTTAGTAATGAATTATAAGCCAAATAAAATAAAAACATCTGCCCTGAAGATAAGGATAGTGCTGACAGATCAACTTCCAATTAATTGCGTGCCATGGCGTTCCCCCATCTCAACGCGACACATGCGCAGAAAGTTTGTAGCTTTGAGGTCCGGATAATGGGTGTCCGAATTAACGACTTTTGACTGTAGTCAATTAATCAGTTTAAATACAAATTACCAAGATATCCATTTACTCAATGTTAAATGCCTCTGCGGTATTTTAACTTTTCTTTCAATTTGTCTCAGGGGCTTTGGGAAATGGGGAAATTGCTATTTTAATTATAATTCTACTAAACTATGTCTAGCCACATACAAAATTCGAAAACACTATATATTTTGTAATAAAGATGTGTAAAATAAGTATGAAAAATTTTAAGGTTGGAAAACCCTGAAGAATCCCGCCTTTTAACTTGGGGCCCTTTCAAATTGCTGAGAAATGGGATTTCAATTGGACTTTTAAAATGGTATTATTTTCATAAATATAATTCTAAATTTATAGTTGGCATTTGCATATTATTTAAAAACTTTTATTGTAGGAAGAAAAATTATTGTAATACGTTTAACACGTTGAAAAACGAATTAACAAATATTGTACGAGGTACGAAAAAAATTCAAAAAATTATAAAACTGCTTTAAAAAACAGTAGAATTTTTCGCCTCGTCGAACGTTGCATTTTGTGCATATGTAAACGTATCCCTCGAACAACTCAAAAACGAGTCAAACATTGAAATATCTAGGACTGCTATACATGTAGATGAGCACCTCGATTTTGGCTGGCCGCACTAAATAGAATATTATATTATCCACTTCCCTCTGTTTCTCAAAAAGATTGTATTATGTTGTTTGAAATTAATGGTTAAAGGTTTATATGCCGGTTAAAGTAATCTGTATGCAATATTTTTGAATTTCAACAATTAAAGTTGTCTAAGTGACGATAAGCCTAATTTGATGCGCCATTGCTCTTGTTTACATTTGAAAACAGCTGAGCGGATTGTTTGCCAATAAGAGAAACTTAGCTTCGCAACAACAAAGATAATGCCTTCATTTATTATTTAAATCATGCTTAATCCATTCTGGAATTTATTCGAGGAAATTTTAGCGTTCAAGTTTACTTCGTTTTTTAATACAGATATTTTGAAGTTTTTATGTATTTTTGCCTTGTCACAAAGTGAAAACTGAATTAATGAGAAATACTCAATCGTCTGTGAAAAACTGTTCCTTTTTATTTTGTTTGCTTAATTTTCTTTTATACATAGTTCTAGCTTATTATAGTATTTGAATAGAACATGTGGCAACGATTAGATAATTCTTTAAATGATATACATTTTGTGCATTCTGAGTTATAATATAAATAAAATATAATACTGTTAAGTAAACCTAGCGCCAGAGTGTCGCTATGGTAACAAAGTGAATTTTAAAGAATGCATTCATTCTATTGTGTTTTATGCGCTGTCGGCGCAGTTAGGTTTCAATCTAATAATAAGTTTAAAATAAAATCAAGAAAAAATGCGCATATAATTTATATCCGGTACAAGGAAGTCATGTGTTGTACACATCAGATTTTTTCTTATGAAGGCTTTTCTGTTCCTAAGCATTTTTAGAAGAATAAAATATAATAAAAAAAAATATTCTAATTTTAATAGTCCCTTGAAATCTCCATTTTAATTTCATTATTTCTCCTTACAGTTCTAAAAACAGAAACTGCTTTTAATAAATCACTCTACAGCGCATAACTTCAAAATCAATCTTCTTGAATGATTTTTGTTGCAGACATTTACATAAGGCTTCAACCAATCATAATATTAAAATTTGCTAACTCAAACCTAAAATTAATCAATAAAAAAATACAACTCTAATTTTATCAAACCTTCATTTGGAAACTATGCATTTCTTAGCTTCTGGAACTTGCAAGTTTATTGTCAACTGTTGCTCTTTCTGCAGGTATTTAAAAAAGATTACCCATGTAACTTCCAAGGAAAAGCATAATTTCTATCACAAATTAGCTATGGCTGCATTTAAAATATGATATCAGTGATAAAAGGTATTCAGGCTGTCTCGACTGCATCAAATTTTTCTTGAATCAGGTGCTGTTGTCATTAAGTACCACATCATCAACTTCTAAATTCGGATATGCTTTTTATATATATAAATTATTTTGCTGATGGCAAAAATTAAATAGTATTAATTTTATGTTAAGTGTGAATGTTTAAAAGGAAATCATGACACATATTCACTCAGCTACACATAAAGGAGAATAATTACTGCACATGAGCTAGAAATATTTTTTCCCTTTTATTATATTATTGGTTCCCTCCCCAACTAAGAAACATATCCTATGAAATAATAGTTTAACCAAAAAAAAAAAAAAAAAAAAAAAAAAAAAAAAATTAGATCAACTTTAAAAATTCTCACATTTAATTTGATTTCAGAATTAATATTACTAGCAGAAATTTAATCCAAATTTACATGAAAGATCTTGAATAATTTTAGTAGCTTTAAATAAATTTATCAAACAAATGAATAAAATCAATCATATATTGAATAAAATTCATTTTTGTTTATAAAATGGTGGATTTATTTAAAAAGTAATATCTTCAACTTACACAGCACTCAAGTGTTCCCTGCAACAGCATGAAAAAGAAATACATGTTCAATTAAATACAGAAACTTAATTCACAAAATACATAGATACATAATCAAAATATTTTTATAGCATAAAAAAACAAGTAAAATAAAAACTTATTCTGATACATAAATGAAAATATAACATTTTCTCGGTAATAGCAACAAAATAATGTAACTTACATTGTATTAAAAAGCTGTCTATATTCCTCATCCCCTTTGTTATCACTAACTAAAATATCTAATTTGTCAATAAGTTCTGACTCAACCTATATTTAAAAAACAAAGACAAAAATTAAAATTGTGTTTCATTTATTTTATGCAATACCTAGACAGAAATATTCTTAAAATTTTACGGCTAGAAACCTTTATTACATACTGCTAAAACATAAATGTTTACCACTAAAACATTTACTACAAACATTTATTAAGCAAACTTCACAATACAACTCAACTGGGGGCCATCAGGTTTATCTTCTGCAATGGCATATAATGGCATGTTCTATGTTATACTAAATTTTAAAGTGCTAAAATTTTAAATTTGTGTTAAAGGCAACTGCTAGTAATGAAAGCAGGTACAGAAAGCCTGCTAAAAGCATCTCATATTTTAATATCAAACACTTATCTAAACTGACTTGTACACAAAGAGTGGTTAAAACTAGGTTTGAATTTTTATCACTTCAAGAATCTGCAATTCAAGTTCTTTTAATTAGTTTCCAGTCTAAAATTTTCAAACTTAAGGAAAGGACTTAAAAATCTGCAAAAATTTTAATATTTAATTACATTAGCTCGGCATAGAAAATAACCGAGTACAAAAGTATTTTAATTTGTTATGACATATTTAATGTGCTATGCAAATTTTAGAGCATATTTGGACAAATTTATGCAAATTACAATGATTTCAAATTAATCACTTATACACGATGATCAGATTAAAAGAGGCAATCAAATTTCAATGAGGTGCAGACAAATTTTTAGTCAAACAGAAATATTAATCACAGGTCTTATTAAAGTATTAATTTTGAATGTGGGGGAGGGCTTGCCGCCAAGGGAGGTGCAATATCATCTAAAGAGGGAGTGGGCAGACTGAGCGGTACTCTACTGTCTGTGTCACTGACTCTTAATTCAGTCTCATTTCAGTAAATCTCGATCACACAAGCAATGCTTATTTCCAGTGCAAAAATAAAATGTTGACTTGTTATTTTTTACTTTGTCGTAAGCTTGGCAAAAAAATGCAAACCAATTATGATTATATTAAATATGGTTTTACTGCTATACAAAAAAAAGTTGGTGTTGAACAGCCACAATGTATTATTTGTTATGAAATACTGAATAATGATGCCATGAGATCTTCTCATTTGAAGCGAGATTTGTCAACAAAACATAGTGTTAAAAGAAAAGCCAAAGGGGAGTTTTGCTGTAAAATCTGCAAGTTTGATACTTAAGAAATTGGACAATATTGGATCCTTTGCTCATCTGAAAAAGTGCTCAAAGCACTGTACGAGTTATGCTATGCCCATTAGTTATGCTATGCATTGCATAAACTTGATGTACAAGTTCAATTGTTGGGTGCCCTATAAGCTGACCCAAACAGATAAGGAGAGACGTGTTCGGGCCTGCACTAATCTGTTCGAATATTAACGCAAGACATTCTGGACCGGATCGTCACTTGTGATGAAAAGTGGATTTACTTCAACAACATAGGTTGAAAATGAGATCGGTCTGCATACCGTCAGCCCATCAGCAGCATCACAAAGCACAAATTCACTAACAAAGGATCGGGATTTATCTGGTGGGACTGCCATGGTATTCTTCACAAAGAGTAAACTGAAAAAAAGGTAAAACCCTCGAACAGTAAAGTGCACAGCAAGATGCTAGTCCGTGTTAACACTGCTACCATGGAAAAACGTCAAATTAAATTACAGCAGAAAAAGGTAATGTTCCATCAAGATAATGCAAGATCACATGTATCCATATCCATCGTCTGGACGCTATACAGATTCAAATGAGATCTTTTGCCACACCCACCACATAGCCTCGGCATTGCTTCTTCAGAATTTTACCTTCTTTCACAGCTGCAGCTACATCTTGCTGGTGTTATCTTCCATTCTACACAGGACATTTGAAATGAGGTTGATCTGTTTTTGGACTTGCGGCCACCAAGTTTCTAGGCCAAGGACTTTGAAAAACTACCAAAATGTTGGCAGTATATTTGAGTGATGATTACTACCTGCACTAAAGGTACTGCTTTCATTTTTCCCCCCTAACTTTATTAAGAATGTTTTTCGGCAGAAAACTTTCATTATAACCAGATATCATAGAGACAGTTCGATGATTCTCATCAGATTATCACCAGAGGTAGCTTGCTGATTATACAGCAAAATGCTGTTCAGTTTAGTCTTCACCTCAGAAGATGAATATTATTTAGTTCTTTATACCTTCTAGTTCTCCTAATTAAAAGAAAAGCATATGGATTTTCTGCAATCATTTTCCTTTTTTTCCCCCCCACACAACATGTTTCTACACAAAGCATCATCATCTTGCGTTGTTGATGTTTCCGTAAAGATTTTACTAGGGCTCATTCTATGCTGTCAAGGGCTGATGTTTAAGGCTGACCTACTGACTGAACATTAGGCTTATTTGGTTGCTCATTATTACTCTCAAATGGTATAAGGCCTAATGGTAACCTTGAACATTTCCTACCATCAATTTTATTCTAAGAATATACAGCACAAACAGACTACAGAAGTATTTAATAAAACAGATTTAAAAAAGCCTGTTTAGTCTAACCCTAATCTCACCATGGAAAATCACAAATTCCTCCCATTCAGCCTTCATGAGTCATGGCACTACACTAAATCAACTGATAGTAATTATGAGAATAAAAATTTACTTCTTTTTTCTATTCTTTGATGGCAATTAAGACCTGTCATCATTCACCTCTACATGTCAGATTCATATGCTTTTAAAATCCATTCATATGAATTTTCCTAAAATCTCATACAGTTATTCTCTAACTTCTCAGAGTTGAAACATTTTGCAACTTAGTCTCTTCACAAGTTTTTGTCATCAATCTTTCTAACTTGTTTACCTATTATATTTTGGTCAAAAACAATAAAAGATGAAGATACAGTTGAATACAAATTGCAAATATGAATACAGCTATTCAGCTGTAACACATTTTTTGTATACAAATATGAATACAGCTGTATTCATATTTGTATTACAGCTGCATTGAAAGATGAAGATCAGTTTGAATACAAATTGAAAATATAGATTTGCAATTTGTATTCAAACAATTTGTATTCAGTCTTCTAATTCAAATATAAAAATTGTTACCATTAATGATCTTAGACAATAGCACAAGAATGCTATGTCAGCAGTTTCTCATGCTACAGTGTAGGATATACAGACTGATTAATACAGTGATACCAATGCTGTCTGCTATATTATTGGGCCCAGGTTCAAATCCTGAAAATGCATGAGCAATACTGCTGAGTCAAAAGTACTCTCGAAAGGTTTGGTGGTAGAGAAAGAAGGATAAGAGATCCTAATATCCATTACTTGGGGTTTTCTTCATCAAAACTAGAATGGAGCACATAGATAATATCTGTAAATACAGCTGGGCTGTACTGTAAAATCAAAGATGTAGTACTGGCACCCTACCCATTTCTTCCTGTCCTGTTGATACATTTGTCCCACCACATAGCCTCGACATAGCCTGTCCCGTTGATACTAAGTATGTTTGCCACACTTAAAATTACTTCAACTTATGCAATTTTCTCTGCTAATGAGTATATACTTTTATGCAACTGAGTTTATATTACATGTAACTATATAACTGAAACATAAATTTTAAAAAATTTTAACTTTTTTTAATATATTTTTTATATTTACTCAGTAAAATGCTAACTATCCATCAAAATACCTGTTTAAAATTCCCTCGAACTTTTTGTTCACAGTCCATCATATCAAAAAATATTGGAAGAGTTGCTTTTCTCAAATCAACTTCAGGCACTAAGGTAACTTCCAAAAATGGACCAACCATAGCAGGTATAAAAAAGATTTTATGATCCCCTATAAAGAATAAAAATTATACTTTAACTGTTGAAGATAAAAAGAAAAAAATTAAAGAAAGAATTATGATTTAATTTCAGAGGATCAAAATCTACTTTTGAAAGGGATGTTATTAAAACACACAATTTTTTATTCTAAATTTAAATTAAGTATGTTTTAGGATAAGATTAAATTATTTACTATGGCAAATTTTAAGATGGCTATCAGCCTAACTTAAATTCAGTTTTCATCTACAACACCTCAGATCAAACATCAAAACAAGGTGATATTCTTTTCTGAATTTATATTTTTGTTTTCAATCAAATCAATACACTTTACTTTTATGAATGCTTACAATAATTTCATATTAGTAAAATAACAGACAGAAATTAAAGCAAAACCAAATGATTATAGCTTACATCAGGGTTAAATCCAACTGTTCTTATTTAATAACAATAAAAATCAATTATTAAGAAATATGAACTTTCAGGAGTACAAACATAAAAAGATATAATTTGTATAGTTGAAATAGTAAAAATTAAATCAAATATTTCATGTGAAAGTGTTTCCTACAATATTACTAACAAATTAAGACACATACACACACATATATATATAGGAAGCTACATAGAAAATTACCTAATTTATCCCACATAGATAATATCTGAAATCCCATAAGGACCCTCATATCACCATACCTGAAAAAAAATTATTTGTTTTAGCATATTATATATTGATTTTATGCAGCAAAGTATGCATCAGTAATCCCTGCTATAAATAACACTCTGGGAAAGAACAGTAATTTTAAATTACTAATAACTTTTTGCTGAATCTTTTTTTCACATTAAGTATAAATTCTAATTACAAAAGCACACCACTTAACTAATAAAAACTCATTATTGTGTATTTCAGAGCAACAACTTACTTTTCAATTATTTTCTCCTTTTTAACATCAGAAAATGTTTCTAATTGCAGTGCAGGTTGCGTTAAAAAAGATACAGCAAGGGAAAAATAACTGCTCCATAACTAAAAAGAGAATAACTGATTATTATCCACTTTTTTCCTTAAACTTTTTAAGAAGATTCTGTTACTATGGACACAATAAAAAAAGTATAAGAATGACTGTTTCCTTACCAAATATAAACCTCTAAAAGGACAGTCTTCCGAGCCTTGAATCTTAACAAATACTTTTTCCTCAAAGACATCTCTTAAGATTTAAGATTCAGCAATTGGAAACAGGATAATGATATACTAATTACTGACATTAGAAATGTACAATGTTTCACTATATAGTGCTCACTCCCAAATAATCATATTTCAAATTCTATGTAGAAAGTAGTTCTGCATACAATTTGTATATTGTATGCAGAACTACTTTCTACATAAAATTTGATGTCTGATTATGTGCAAAATATCTATTTTACATGTAACAACCTATGTTGAAAGATGACATGGTTTATAATAATTTACATATGGAATTGTACCAGCACGGGAATGCAGTGACTTTCATAACACAAAATGTAAGATATATCTTCTACTAACATCCAGAAGCACTTGAGCATGATACTCTGTATTATCAAAAATCCTCTGCAGCATTTCCTCATTCACAATCCAGGTTTTTTCATCAAAATTGCTCCCTTTGTAAGCATATAATTTTAAAAATAAGCAAAAAATAAAACTGGAAGAAACCAAATAAGATTAACGAGGTATCCACAGTCTTTTTGGAAATCACTGAGAAAATGAAAGAAATGAGTTTACTTATGATTACGGACAAACTTGACACAGATTTCTACCATGTTTCAGAATTCTCTTATTTTAGAAGAATATTTGAAATCACCAAGGAACTGTCTTTAATGTGGAATTTATGTTGCCTTGATCCATTGAAAGAAACATTCAATATGTTCTGAATATTTTATTGCTTTACATATAATTCTATGATGTCAACTAGGTATTTCTTTAAAACCTTAATAGAAATGAGATTCTGAAGATGAGACAATCAGATCAAGTTTAATTTTACCTCCTATTTTGGTCAAATAACTTGCATTTCATACACTCTTACAAAATTTACTAGTAATAGATATCTTTTAAAATACAGAAACTTAAAAAAAAAAAAAAAAAAAATACAACTACACCACTTCATAATAGTTTACTATACTTGGCAATGCTGTAGAACACCTGTTGGCATCTGATCTTAGCTTAAGCACTGACAAGCATTTTTGAAGATTTGACCGCAGCACAAAAGCAGTAAAGCAAAAGATTAAGGATTAAGTTTAAAAAAAAAAATTTTTTTTTTTTAACCAGCAAGACTAAATTTTTACATTTCCCATTTTATTGTCTTCTATTTTAAACTTCATTTTATATGCAATAAAATTTATTTTGCTTATTTCAAATTTGTGCATCATACATATATTCAGTACTTCTGAGTATGTCAAATAATAGATTAAAAAAATAAGTAAAACATACTTTTTTCTACTGCATAAATATTAAACAATGACAATTTATTAGAATACAAGATAATTATTTTCTTTTCTGCATGTAGCAAATGCAAAAAATAAAAAGAATAATGAAGGTGGTTTGTGTCCAAATACATTTCACGGCCTTTACTACATAATAATTCTTAAGCAAATTATTGCTTACATTTGAAAGAGCCTCTAATTATCATCAAAGACTCCATACGAAAATATATTTTTATGTAAACATAAGATTTAGAATAAACACATTTTTAGAAGTCAAATTGTGATTTGTCAAGACCTGAATTTAAATCATTAGTAACATATAACAGATGATCATTAGTGTTATATTTATTTTCACATTATTATTATTTCTCTTATGTTTTTTGTTATATTAAAATTCTTCTTGTAAAATAATTTTGAAAATTTAAAAGGTTTTCCTCCTCTGAGGAAATACTGCTAGTTTTACATCAACCAAAATTTTAACACTAGAACTTCTAATCTTTCCTATCAACTCTGATAAAAAGTAAAAATTAAGTGAGTGACACTGGCAACTCAGCCATCGGCCCTGTATCTATCATATTCCTTTGGTATGAATAACTATACTAGGCTTCAGTGAGTTCTGATTTTCTTAATTTAGAAATTGTACATGATTTAGGTTGGTTGATTATTTGAATATGATAAACCACATGAAGGCTATATGTCTTAGAGCAGAAATGCCTTTATGAAGGAAGTTTCTCTGAAAAAGTGTCTTGTATTCACATTACACATGGGAAAAATCATGAAAACCAGGCAGCCAGCTTGTTTGAAAGTTGATTTCTATGTTTGTGTGTATTTAAGCTGAGGGTTTGAATCTTTAATTAAGACAGCTTCAGACAGTCATGTCTTAGTGTTAGTATTTTAAACAACCCTATTTAAAAATTATATTCCATAAATATGTGTTGGTAAAATATATCAGCCAGCTTATTCTATTCAATATATGGTCTTAAACTATGTTCTCAATGTTCGAATTTAACTGTGCTCTGTTAATTTAAAATATCCAAATGAATAATTTATGAAAATCTTGTCTGTAATATAAGTTTGCCTTATGTTCAAAATGGAAGCAAGTAAAAGAGTTATTTAAATCTTCTGTAATTCATGAGCTATTCAAGATGTAGTGATAACTTGCTATTTCTCTAGAAGGGTCTGCAATATTTTAACTCCAAGATTGCTGTTTAAGTTTCCCCTTATAACAACAACCTTAAAAATTCTTATTTACAGGAGGAAAGCAAAAGTTGTCCAATAGCTGATAAGGTTATGATTTTCCCCTTACTTTATTATGGGAATGCAGCACATAACCCAAGATCCTAGGAACAGAACAGTTCAATTAGTTCGGCGATTTCATGTACCAGTTTTGATGAAATTATGAGATAATATCTGAAGGAAATCTCTGAAATCCATGTTTCTTTTCTTGGCACCTTCATTAAAGCAATGCATAAGTTAATATGGCCTAAGCTGTAAAATAGTAGCTGTCAAAAACGTGTTATATTTGCTATGAAGCCCAGATCTGCCCCTTACATGACACTTTTGTTTGTTAGTTTTGTTTAAGATACTAAAACCAACCTATTCAGAAGATACCACTGATTTTACTGACTATATGTATTATGGAGATCATTACAGAAGATATGAAAAACAGCCAAATGTATGTATTAATGACTGAAAAAATTTTTTTTTATAGAAATGCAGTGAAATTCAACATGAATATTTTAGAAAAGATAATTGTATCATAGATTGTAAAGAGATCATGCACATTAACCCTCTAAGCGGCAAGGCCGTATATATACAGCCTAGAATATTTTTGTGATATCTATAAGAATATATATATAAATATATGCATATTAAAATATTTCAAAGAAATTAAGGTAATATATCAAAAGTACACAAATCCAGGTATGAAATACCAGGAGAGGTTTTACATTAAAATAAAAAAAATAAGTTGTTCTCATAATAGTTTTGGGAAATTTGTGCTTTCTTAGTGAAAACCCTAGCCGCTCAAAGGGTTAACATATTCCATCAATGATCAATATTCAATATCTTGCTAATTTTAAATTAACTGTGTAACAAAATGGTTTTTACTTGTTCGTCAAATGCAATTCCATCCAAGAAATCAACTGTTAATGGTTGAGAAAATTCTTGAAGAGCACAGAGAATAACACTAAATGAAGATTGTATGAATTAATTACACTCATTATAAGAGATAACAATAGCATTTATATTCAAAACTAATATTTAGAAAAAATAATTACTGGTTTGTTAGCATTCGCATAATTATCCAATCAGATGGAAATATGTCTTTCTTGACAAAGTCCAAGAAAACAAAAAATACACTTAGTAAAAAGTCTTTTAATTGCCTCCTGTCACGTCGTTGCCGTATGTTGCCAAATTTTTCCCACAAGCGATTGTAATGCTGGTCTTCCATTAATCTTAGAAGTGCAACTAAACATGCCACAAGGGGTCCCTGATAAAAGTAATAATATAAGTCTTCAGTGAATATCTTTTAAATAACACACAAAATAGTCACTGTACATTAATCTCATAAAAATACTAGTAACAACAATTTGAATGCCGTGGATTCTTTGTAGGACTACATTTACTTAAGAGTCAGAATACAGTCAAAAGTCTTTAATCCGGACTCGTCAGGACTTTGGCGATTCCGGATTATAGATCATCAATTTAAATCTGGTAAGATGGCGTGCAGAAATTATAAAATTAAAAATATGAAACCGTAATTTCTGAAATAAAGAGCAATTATGATCTAAAGGGTTACAAAATTTACAAAAAAAAAAAGCTTAATATTTATTTGTTTACTTTATTAAACATTTCTTTCAACGCGCGCATGCATAAAGCATAGATTACGCATAGTCGAAATTAGAAAATTGCAACCAGAAAACTATTTGATGTGTATTCGTGATATTTATAATGACCAGGAATTTGATTTAAATCATATCAAAGATGGAGTACATTGAGATGAAATACTACATTTAGCAAGGAATTATAAGCCAAATAAAATAAAAACATCTGCCCTGAAGATAAGGATAGTGGTGACAGATCAACTTCCAGTTCATTGCGCGCAGCAATGTTTCCCCCCCTCCCCGCAGAGCAGCGTGAAATCGATAAACAGATTTCGGAGTGGTTAGAGAAACAAAGGATATGTGCCTTTATCAATTTTTTGCAGCAATTCCAATTTTTGTTTGATGGACATCAAAACATGCTTTCGCTTTGTAGATCCTTTGGCAGCTCCAGAATCGTAAATTCTTTTTGACATTATTGAAAGTTCAAGCTTACTTTTATATAATTGCTCTAAGAGTCTGCAAAAAATAATAAGCCGGATCCAGTTAGAAGATTAAGGAACAACGCAATCTGCAACATTAACTGAAATAGATAATTAGATAATTTTAGCTTAGCTTATACTGTCCGTTATACATTAAACGCACATGTGTAAACGCATATGCACATGCACAGAAAGTTTGTAGCGTTGAGGTCCGGATTATGGGCGTCCGGATTAAAGACTTTTGACTGTATTTTAATCATTTCCCCATTTTATAAGCTATAGTTATTCCATACTTTTTATAAAACACAAAAGTTTAATATTTTATTAAAATAAATTAAAACATCTTTGGTACTTAACATAATTTGACATAATTTATAACATAATTTGACATTTTTCACAACGGTCATTAAATGTCGTTACAATGTCCATAAATGCATACTGAAAACAATGCAAACTATTTTTTAAAATGCAAAATTTTTTAAACCACAATCAAATCAGGAGAAATTAGATATAAAGAAATTAAACAAACAAATTGCCTTTAGTTCAATAAGCAGTGATCTATTTATTATAATGGAATCAATAGCATCTATAACACAATAAAAATTGATTATGATTAATATCCATAAACCTTATTAAAATCTTTTCCATTAATAAAATTTCTTATGGATATCATATTATATACAATGATCAAATAATAAAAAATTTTAACTTTTTAATTTCTTTCAATTAATTATCATCAGGTAAAATTGCATTTGGTTTACAGTGTAATTTTACAACAAAAATGAACAATAAGTCATTAAAAAATTATTAATTAATTACTTAACTATTAATATTATTTTTTTCGGGGGGGGGGGGGGGGGAGTTACTTAACAAAAAAAGGAAATTTCATTCTTGCGTAGTTGTTTTCTTTTACAATCTATTTTACATTTCATTTACATGAAACTGATTTTTCCTGGTTTCAAAACAGAAGTTGTCTAGAAGTAATGATTTCTTCTTTTTCCACACGATCAATATATGTAAAATTGGATATAAAAAAAGAGTTCTATTAATAGTATATGCAAACTGCAATCAATCAACTAACAATATATCCAAAATGTAATCAATGATAATTAATAGAAAATGTCACTGGCAAAGACTGTTTCTAAATCAAGAAGTTAAACACCGTAAAAATAGAGAATAACTTCATCTATCCTCAGAATTGAACTATTTTAATTTCAGTTTACTGCTCTTTAATAAGACTACATGTACAGAAAAGACTTCAACTGTACATCATTCTTGAGGGTAAAAAATGTTTATTAAGCAAAATGGCATTTAAGTGGAAAAGAAATTTTTAAAAAAAATTAGGTCTAGAAGTCTTTAATCAGCCAGAAGTTAAAAAAAATCAAAAAGTTTCCTTAGAAATTGTTTTAAAAAGTTATGGGAAAAAATGATTATAAAAAGAAATAAGTCCTAATGTGAAGAATATACTTTACTACAGAAAAATGGACAAATTACCATGGTTTTCACTCTAAAATATATGCCTTGTTTAGCAGCTGCAATTGAATAATATTGCTAATTCTTTTTATACACAAAACACAGTTTTAGGAAATATAATGAATATCAATTCAAATTAAAACCACACCACAAATATTATTATTCTAAAAGTATATCTTCAAATGTATTTAAACAGATAAACATAAACAGATATTTTTATATTGGTTTGCTAATTTCTAACACTTATTGAACGAGAAACTGTGTTTAAAGAAAACTGAATAAGATAATTCTCACATATATCAAATAAATTAACCCCTTCAAGGATTTTATTAATATTATTTTAAAATTTGAGAAACTTTAATGAAATAATCTGGAACTGTTCAAAATGCTTAATCTTGTTTCAATAATAATTACCCTTCCTTTTCTGTTACCAAGTTCCATTCTTTAAGTCCTGTAATTGCCATGTCAAGAATTTCCACTAAATTGACAATAGAAATTTTTTCATTCTCAATAAACTCTCTCTCACTTTCTTCAGTACTGGTAGTAATAACTTCTGGATTTATAACACAACTGCACAACAGATTTTTCCATGTATTAGTTGATTGATGATTGTGGCATTACAATGAAAAACTACTATCATGTCATCATTATTTACTACCACTTCTCCACATTTCTTCAAAAATTCCATTAACCCCGCGAGCGTTAAGGGTTTTTTCAGGAAACGACGTAAAAATAATCGTATTTTCTTACCAGGTCTGTCGCAGAAATGGTGAGCATTTTTACTCATTCAAAAGCGGGCCCCCCTTACCATGTGGATATAATTAAGCTAATTCTCCCCTCCGTTGAATTTAGCAAGTGAAATTAGTTTTTCTCCCTATGGTATCTTCGTCATGAGACTGGTTGCTAAAATAGTATTTTATCTCCTATTTGGATACTTTATAATTTACACACTAACACGTATGTTGTATATTACTCATACCTTAAATCAAGATATGTGCCGAATACAGAAAGTTAGTTAATATACATCAGAAAGAGAAACTATGTAAAATGCTTTGAATTTCCAGTTTCTTTAAGGAATTGCTTCGATAGTGGTGAAAAATTAATCTTGCATTTTTTTATCCTTATTTTCTGAGGAAATACTTTTTAATATACAAAGGGAATTTGTGAGAATTTTTTTCTCTCGTGTTCCAATTTTTCGAATACAAATTATTCGCAACTTATTTTAGTATTATGTTTATATTTAATTTTCAAATATTATAAGCTTATTTCAGTTTAAAGTGTTAGATTTAAATAATTCTTTAGATTGCATCATAAATTTATAAGTAGTTAGTTATTTATGACACCGTTTTGACTTGTGAGAAATAAATAAAATATTGTAATCACGAAACATTTCGATTTCATATTTGAAAGGAAATTTCCATTTTGAATAGTTCCATCATGACGTTTACACGTACGTATGTCGCATAACTTAACATAAAATGTTGAAATTTTACATTTGGACTTATGACTAGTTCTAGCGTGACGTATGTCCGTACGTATGTATGCATGTATATCGCATAACTCAACAGCAGAATAGATGAAGTGGCTGATGAATGAGATCAGGCAGTTCAGCTTTTATAGAGTAAAATCACTTTGGGGGTAGAAAACAAGTAAATAGCTTGGTCAAAGGAGCTTCTTGAGAAAATAAATGTATTTTCGAGCTACAATGCAATTTCCTTGTAATTAGCTATATATGAGTTACAATGCAAGTATTTATATACTACGTGCATTATCAAGATGTTAATAGAAACCAAAAAAAAAAAAAAAAAAAATTCTTTGTAGCAAAATTGTTAACGATATTATTTCTTTAAGACATTTACTCAGGTGTGTATTCTTTTCATGAATGATGAAAAATAAGTTAACAGTTTTCCGAGCAGATGCTCCAAATTATACACCTTTGAAGATTAAGTAATGAAAACATAAACTCTTATTTCTGGTTATGTGCTGAAAAAGATATTACCCTTTTCAAAGAAAACACCTAATAGCGGAATCTCAGAGTTGACTTCAACGTAAAATATACCTCCAGGGGGGTATTTAGTACTGAACTAAAAGCTTACCACCTTTGTACATTTTCTACTTTATATGGAGAGACTATTACCTTTGTGCAAGGACAAAAAAGCATCCCCTATCTATAACTCTGATCTTTCTCAGTTCTTTCATTTTGTTAACTATGACGAGAAATGGAGCTGCCATAAATTCTAAATTTATTGCTTCTTCCAAAGACTCTGATTTCAAGTTGTGTATTTGCCGTCTGTTAGTAATTTAAGCTACCCTGGCTTTAAATTCAGAAACATCCTTTCATCAGTAATTACAGTACATATAAACACAATATCATTATTTAAATTCAGACTTTAAAAACTTCATCTATGTTAAACTATGGAAAGCGCAATATATATATATATATAAATTTAAGCAGTTTATTTCGTGAAAATTTATCACATTTTTCGTAGGAATTATTAAAACTGTTTTGTATGTAAACTCTCTATATATATATGTGTGTAAACACACATACAAAACACTGTGTATACATATGGTGATGTATGTTTGTGAGGATGTGTGCGCGTGTATGTTATATTTCCCATTATATATCAGTATTTTATTGAAAGTAGTTGTAGATGACATTTAATAAAAAAAAAACTGAAAAGTATAGTAAATCTCAAAATGATAGTGCAATT